GGTTATAGCACCAGACCACGATATGAATCCAAAATCCCGCAAACGTAAGTTACAGCCTACGTTCTCACAAGAGGGGACATTCAAAAGGCTGACGGCAAACAATCATACTGCAATAGTGGAGGTGGATGGTAAAGACGTTGCAACATCTATTAAACGCATCAAGGTGATCACTAGAAAGGAACCTGAATGATGTTCGCTTTAACAGCTGATAGCCATTTTTATTTTGTAATATATTTGAATCACAATGGTGAATAAATTTCTTCATTCGATCATCTAATACGTTTAATCGTCATAATGACATCTGATATAACCGATTGTAATTATGATTGCGCAATTTGTACGTTATTCAGTAAAATGTTTATTCAGAGTATTTTGACGATCTGTTTCTGACAACCAACCAAGTTGGATTACTCATGTAATGTTTGTTACACGTATATATGTGTACGTAATTTGCGTCACTGTGTAAATCCTGGATTTATATGTGATTGCGCCAACGTCCCAACATCGTACATGTAAGCATACATAGGTTTATTTATATATCATAATAGTAACAATAACGGCATTTATTCACAAAGTAGACATATTTATGTGGTGACAGTTAAAATTCGTCTTATGACAATGAAGCCGTTTCGTTTTTCTAAACCGCATCCATTATCCAGACATAAACCTTTACACGTACACCTAGTCTTTCTGCCAGATACAAACTAACGACGCTTTACGAGTCTCAAACCTTTCTCGAACAATAGTATACTTTCCTTACGTACACGTCTAGTATCAATTATATTATCTTTATATTCTCCTTGTCTTTTATTATTTAAGTTTATATGATTCATTCTTGTATTTTTTTTATTCACCCTTCGGTATGCTATCAGTATTATTATCATGATAACTTTAATTGACTATGCACATTTTTATGTTGTTTATTCATTACTTGTGTCCATACATATTCTTAAGAACAGTCGTCTCGTATTCAAGCAAAGTATTTCATAAACATCTGTGTGCATGTTTTTAAGTACTGGCAACTTATTGGAAACAAGTGTTTGGAACTATATGGACTTGTAACTAAAATTAGTTACAATATCTCGATTATATAATATAAGGCTATTCTTTCATTTTGGTATATATAATGTTTGTCGCACATAATATTGGTGGGTATGCGCTTGTTAAGGCTTCACCTTCGCTATTGCCAAACGTACTCAGGAAACTAAATCAAAGTTTCAATGGTCAAATGGGTTTGTCTTGGCTCTGTTCCACTGAGGCCATTGCTGCTGCATTAAGAATTCAAAGCTGTGCGTTTCGTTCTCAGTCTTTCATGTTTTTATTAATCACGCATCTCACTTTTTTATTTACCCGCACTAGCAGAGATGATCAAGCCTGCTGAAGTATGAGAGTGACAAGTAATTTTAAGAGAATGCAGGATAGAAGCCTTTTTAATGTCCCCACTGTTCAGGACAATTTTACATGTCGCCACGTAATACTAAAATACCGTAACGCTTGTCACACACGTTTAAGGATTCAAAACGTAAAGTGACTGATGTATTGCTGTACTTTTTCATTTCGAATATTCCAGTCTTTCAGTCTTTATTAATCAAGCGTCCACTTTTTCATTTCAATTCTTAGAGCAGCAATAAAGAGACTAATACGCCACACCTAAGTTCAAATCTTACAGTATCTATGTCTCCTAATGGTAACTTTCTAAAACTATTACTGTATCTCTCTGTTATGTGTTTAATCAATTAAATACTCCCTCTTTCTCTTTTATTTATAGTATCTAAGTTTATACTTTACATAAAGTCTACATACATACCGCGTGAAGCATATTCAAGTGTCCCGTTCATACGACTCTCAATCAGCGGTTTCAAATTCAGCCGTTCCGTTCGAGGAGTTTTACCAGTATGCAAACTTAGTCGGAAATCAGACATATATGCATTGGGTATTATGTGTATTTGATTACCAGCGGCGAACCGGGATAGAGAATTCGATAGAAACTTGGTATGTGATATTATGGATAGACTACGACCGCTGATGCCTGGACTCTGTACCTGAAGTATATAAGAAACTTGTTGTGATGAAACAGCCAGCTATACGGGAAGTCAGTTCACGTATCAGTAACCTTATTGAAGATACAATCAAGGATAAGACTATGGAATGCCATGTATCATAATGATGTGAAACCATTATCACACCTTGAGCAAGTTACCAGCGGAGGTATGAAGATGACGAACGGTACATTGAATTTAGATTTGAAAAGTTAACTCTATTATTTCATGTCCAATTAGTATGTATGACGCTTCCGATGAAGAAAATGCAATTGAAGTAGTCGATGATGCCAGTCAAACGTCAGTCTCAGATGCCGTTGATGAAGATGTGATTGAACGTCGTATGTCACGGCAGCAACAAATCCAGCAATCAGTGAACGAAGTACTAGACAAATACCGCTCAAAATTGTGTAGACAGGGGAGTGCTCACAGAAAAAAGACAGTAAACAACACAATCGAGGCTGGAACTCCCATAATGATTGCGCCGGATCATGATATGAATCCAAAAACTCGTAGAGAAAACTTGCAGTCTAGCCCGGTAAATTTAAGTGACTGACCCTAATAATCGCACTGTAATCATGAAGGTAGATGGTAAAGATATCGCAATTCCTATTGAACGTGTCAAGGTGGTGACCGAGAAAGAACATTCGTCTTAATATGTATTTGAACATTATTTCAATCATACGTTTATTCTATATTGTAAATATTTGATTCCGCATTTGTGACATTTATATTCAATGACATGTTTTTTTGCTTAATTTTCATGTCAGATATGAATTTGGTCTAACGCTAGGCATCTATGAAACAAACGTTAAATAAAGTTTCTTGTATAATGTGTCATACATATGTTGCCTCATCAGAATCGCACTGTTGCGGTAACCGTATATTTATGAATTGACAAGTATGATAACACTTTATGTGATCTTTGTCGTATAATATAATACATTGTCAACTTTCTTCGATAATGAAATAATGGTTTTAAATTTTGCATTGACTGTTCAGATGCAGAATGGATGAGGTGACATGTGTGCCGTGGTATGTTAAAGAAAATTACTTACTGGATTACGTTGTCATGCTATCAGAATGTGATTAACACGTTATTTCGATTCTCATGCAGCTGCAGTCGAATGTGATACGATTTTTACAATTGGTGTTTCGAGATTGTCTGTATACGAACACAAAATACTCATGATGGTTAACTTGTATTTTTGACAACCAACCAACATTCGGAGCACGCGTAAAATGTTGTCTCATTCACATGGCTTTGTTTTCAACGCGAAATTTCAGCTATCGCGTTCATAAACAACAATTTGTATTAAAACGCCCGGCACATCTCGTTCATTGTACTTATCTTCCACATTATTTCTTTTATACACTCGATGCTTTCAAGTACAGACATGCTTACCGGAAGAAGAATGCATATGGAGACCAAACAAGAAGTTTTATTTTCAGCAAGACCTCACTTGGAGTAAGTGCTCAGAATCTAACTGCTTTCATTATCGTATACTTTGTTACTGACGCTTTGGATTTATAGCTTCATATCAGTTTATTACGGAACTTTGACATCCCATGTGAGTATTCGCACATCTGATTTTTGTTTCTATGCGTTTCTACTTTCTATCCTTTAACTTACTAAATCGTCTACTTCTATGCATTTTTCTGACTCTAATACTATCCGTTTCCGACCTACTAATTATTCAATTCTACAATTTTTTCTGACTACTAAATTGTTTATTCTATCCGCTCCTGACATACTAAATTGTTCGCTTTTTGACTTGCCAAAAACTGTAACTGGTTATTGTTTGTAATTACTGCTGTCTGTACAAATATCGGTAAATAAAGATCCATACAAATTAGTCTACATACAAATTGAGCAACGCAATCATATCTATGTGTGACAAACTATAGTTAGGTGTGACAAATGTTTACGTGATTGAGTAACCACCGTCTGTTGATTACGTGATAAATTTGATAATCACGTGCGTTTCAGCATCAGCCCGTTTCAGCTTCAGCCCCGACAATTATTATTACGCACATATTTAACAAACTTGAGTACAGCGTGCGAAAGGTTTTATTATGAATAGTGACTAAACTGTGGAAAAGAGCAGTTAGTTATAGGCCTAACAGTAGCAAGGTAACTACGAAAAAGAGAAGCAGACATTACAAATAAAATGGTCAACGAATTGTGAATTTTAAGACGTGACTAAATTACGATTTAGATTCGAGAATTAGTATCAGAAGGTGCCGTAATTAACGCAAAAGCGGCAAGGAAACCGGCACGTTACTTTTAAAGTTTGAGCACTGCGTACCATATGTTAGTATTAATTCAATTCCACTTATGATCAACGTTTATTTATCTGTCCAATCCACTTAAATCATTATCAGGGTTCGTATGTTGGTCCATTATGACACTGTTTCATGTTCCTATCTATCAGTAATTATTACGATCGCAATCTGATTGTCCTATCCTGTCTAAATTCAGGTATTATCACAGCTCGATCCGCAATGTATATTCGAAGAACGAAGCAACGGTTGGTTTCAAATTCGCCGCTAATAGCCAGTATAGTTACGCGGCGACGAAGTCCACAAAGTCTCCAAAAACCTATTTATATAACACGGAATCGATAGGAATTATCGATGTGAAAGATCGGACTTTCTAGCAGCTCAAGCCGATAAAACCAATTCCGAGATTTGAGTCATAATTCTCTTCGTAACCAGTACGATCCGTCCTCAGATGTGGTGTGAAAGCAAGAGGTGGCTTTCATTGTGAAGAACAACTGTCCATCACTCAGTCGAATTCAACCTAGATCTGTGGAGAGCCACTTCCAGCGTTGAGAGTATTCGTGCATCTCTCTCATCTACAGACATATGAGAGAAACGTTCAGATCGTTTCCTTGCTTAAAATAAAGTTCTGCGGAGATACAGTTTCTTCCGTAAATGTTAGTATTTGTTACGGGACGACACAAAAGAAATAGAGCGTGTAAACAAGTAGATTCCTGAATGCGGTGCGGCCATGTCTGAAAAGCGTCGTATGTCGCCTGACGCGTTTGAATTGAAGCGAGTTGATGTTGAGTCGTTGTAGCTCTCATTCTAAGGGTCCTAAATCTCTAATAATGATGGAAACAAATTTACAAACATTTAAGAAATTGATCACATCCAGATGCCCGTGCCAAATATTCATTTCTTCGCCGCTGGCTTCCATATAATCACCATCTTATATTGTTTTCAACCCGTAAGGTATCCATTCGTCTGTTAATGGGTTCCCTATGTAGTGCAGTTCTCGGTAGCTTCTTATTCGGACAATTAAATTTGGTGTTCGACATGAGATCGTATCTCTCTTATCCGGTTATTATGTTTTCTGTCACGTCGAGAAGTGCTTAAAACTCTCTAAGTGAGGAGACTAACGTAGTTTTCTGATAGTCTGCTTCCTAACGCTGTATCTCCTTTTGGCCAATTGGTCATGGTAGCCCAGACGTCTACTATGTCTGATTCGATGATTCAGCCGTGGGGGGGGGGGGCAGCATTGATAAGTCAATGGCTCTATAAAGATTCATATATTGTAGAGACATGTTTAGTTTTTACAGAAAGACCTTGGATAGATCATGAACAAGCACCTGCTAGCCGCTTTGCCCTACATGAAGAAAACCAGCTTTCTTAGGCAAACAAACTATAGTAATAAGACACCATTATAGCTAAACAGTTCGGCCACTGAATCTCTACGAAAAGGTATTATCACGTATTTGGCACTCTGTTATCACGCCAGTAGGAATTCAAGTTTCTAATAAATGACGACATTGTTAATTGAAAGTCGCTCTATTATCCGAAACTCCTCAATCGAGTACTTATCGTTATATATTCACTGCCATGCATGGAAAACAAAAAGATGAATTGACGTTATGAACTAAGACCATGGTCACGTGAACTCACTACATTTATTAAATGCTCAACGCTTCTATACTTATTATGTACTTTTCAAGAAATTAAATAAATTACATTCAAAGAGACAATCATAATGACTGCTTCTTTGTCTATCAATAATCACATCTCTCATTAAAACTCATATTTCAACACTATTTACGACACGGTCCGAACATGTGTATCGAAACCCGAGAAGAAAAAAGCGGCAATGTCAAGTACCAGAAAATGGATCCACTGCAACAAATTATTGTTGTTTCCTTCTGGTTTCTTTAAAACCAAATCCTTTTTACACTCTTCTCTTCCTCTCCGCATTCTTCCTCTTCGCATTCATTCTCTTGCTGACGCTTCTCTTTCGCTTCGTGCCAGGTGCCGAGTTATTCGATTCTGATACCAATGAATTGGAAGCTGGTGGAATAGCCACTTCACCACCATAGAGAAAATTGCCAAAGTTTTGCGTCCAATAGTTCTTAGTGAAGCCAGAACCAAAATGTCTGAAATTGGGGTTAAGAATGTTTGCGCGATGCTGTGGAGAGTTCATCCAGCTGGTTAAGTGAGATTCAAGAGAAACGAAATGGAAATACAAATGAATTTCGGGATTTTTATGGAAATATGTCAGATAATACATGAAATACTGTTATTTCTCTCACTTACGCTTCCATAACTGAAGCTTCAGTTGTGAATCCAAAAGCAATATTTTCTCCAACGTTCTCGTAGATATACCCCAGTTTTTTTATTCGATCGCCAAGATTTCCAATGGGGTCGTCGTGTGTGATTGCGTTTATACTTGCTTGGTATTCCGAATGAGCTTGCGCGGCCTTGATAAGACGTCTGTTAAATGGGGATTATGATGCATCAATAAATGGTGGCTTTGGGAATAAATGGTCAATTCGTTCCATTACTACTTACGCGTCCAAGACAAGTGGGTCCACTCCAACTTTGTTTCTTTCGTCATTGACCAGCTTCAACAGCGATGCTGGGTTGCCGACGACAGCACCAACAGCAAGGAAGATGACACAAAGAGATGTCCACGCAACCATGAGTTTTAGTTTGATATTTACCTGAACTATTCACAGAACAGTCCGGTTGTAAGTTTGTGAAGGGAGACGGAAGTGTCAAGCTAATGTAGTGAAAGGAAGGAGACAAGATACCATTAAGCAATGGATAGATAGATATGTGTATATATATGTATACGTATATGGAATCAATTATTACCCATTTGGTAGAGAAGCGATTAAATGAAGTCGATAATTACACCCAACTACCAATCATGCTTTGTTAAGAGTGGTTCAGTTGTTGAACACATTCTTGTTACATATGACTTTGACTTAATGTTGCCAAACGCCTACATGCCTGATTTGATGTCGCACATTATAAAACGGCCGGCGGTGATCCGTAATACAGATCATCTGTGGCGCGAGCACGGCCGACCAAGGATGATCCCGAAACATAGCGTTCGAAATAACCTTCCAGGATTTCTTAATTTTAGTAAACTTACTAATTCAGTGTTTTATGGTTTGGTAATTATAATGGCGATAATGGCGATGGGGGAAAGGGATTTATACGTTTTACTGATTCTTTGAACAATTTAGTCCATTGTCTATCAACGACATTAGCGTCACGTTAAACTTTCTCAATGTCTTCTTCTTTCACCTGATACTAAACCAAATAATCGAAACTTTAGCAGAAGAAATCAACAACGACATATGCAATGGTGTTCGAAAAAAAAAAAGACTAAATTTATGTGCAAACAAGTGTTGCCATTTATCAACGAAGCATGGTGTCATAGTAATATATGTAGGCCGCTCATTAACAGAATACAATATATTGCAAATTAATGAGAAGAAAGCACGGGGGAGCAGTCATTATTGAAAATGAAATCATATTACAAACCTTGTCTTAGTCAATTTAGCAGACAAAAACTAACATAACAAGGAAAACAGTCAAAGTAAATATTTGATCTGACTGAAGTATTCCGGATACTTTACATTACCGCGGGTACACATCGGGAGGTGGCTATCAACAAAAGTTGTAAAGAAAAGATTTCAGGTCCGTCACAAACTGTTTGTTAAACCGTTAATCTAACGTTTAATATATAATAATAATTAATAACAATAATAGGTTCGTATGAATGTATTAGCAAGTACATCAGCTAACTCCAACTGGATGCATCTCCGTGAAACGTGCATGGGGTCGCTGTAGAAACGGAATTAATAAAACGAGCATTTAAGTGTTGCGGGGTATCCATAGCGAAGATGAATGAGTTTGTGTATTAATTATGACAGGGTAGAAGACGAATTTACAGTAGACGAGGATAAGAAAATAGGATAACGTGACTAATGATATTGATGGATATGTTTATGAAGAGGATACCGATACAGTGCTTGAGAATATGTGGTAGGCTGATAAGTTGTTGTTACTTTAACATCTTCACTCTCCCAAATATTTTCTCACTCATTCGGTACATTACAAAGTAGTTGAGATTTATCCGTTTATCATGCTCCCGGGTATTCTACTTGATACTACTGAGGGTTACTTTGTTCGGGGAAGTAATCGAGCTGATGAAATTTGGGTAAAGCTTTGCTTTAATTTATGATGGTGATGTACAAATTCAGGCTATTTAGTGATATTTTGGACTTGCTACTATGTATGTTATAAGTGAATGTAACTAGAATTCATTTATATAAAAGCAACATAAATTCACAATCATTAAAAGCAAAAACACTTGTTGAAATGTATTTTCAACTTGTAAAAAACACTATTACTATATCTAATTACAAACAAGATATTGCACTATTAAAAAAACAACATTTTTATCCAACAATAATCACTTATTATTATTATATTGTAATGGGCGATGCTGCAACAAAATCAGACAAGGTGAACATTTGATTATGTGAGTTAAAAATGGCCGAGTTGACAGGTTTCTTTAGTGGCCACAGCTGTGGCTCAGATATAAAATAAATTATAAACATTTTTAAATTAACAGAAACCAAGTCTTTGCAAGCATATTTAGACAAGTAAATTTTATAATTAAACAACAGCCCACTCAAAATGTTTACTTTACTATTGAAACTTTGTTGCTAATCACACTTATCACTGGCACTTTGCTCTACCATAAAACTAAAGCTCACAATCAAACCCGAATTGTAACTCAAACACACGTTTTTTAAGTGATAAAATCAAGGACTATTAAATTAAACGAATAAACAAACAAACAAAACTGCGCAAAAATTTTGTTGGCTCTGCTTGAGCAGTATCAACGACAGCTGTAGAGGCAAAGGAGAATTGAAGGATGCTGTGAAGATGTGCAGAGTAGTGTGGGCAACGGAACGATAAGGTGCTTGAAAAAATTGAGGGATGCAACAAAGTAATGAGACAGCTTCATTACTCAACGTTGGGGTATAGAGTAGTGTGCGCATAATACGTAATCGGCCTATCGCACTCCAAACGGAGCTCGAACTGTTGATATTCAACTCTTTGAATCCAAAAAATTTGCCAGGTAATAATCAAATAAATATGTAATTATCGAATTTCTTGAATAACGGCACATTGTTGATATATTAATCAAACATTCCTAACGGTAAGTCACCTTTGGCAAAATTTATTGCCATCATAATGTAACAGTTTAAAAATAACTTTGTTTCGACCACAAAATCTTATAATTTAATCGTATGGATAAACTCAGACGTAGCAGCTATATCATACATATTGAGTTAAATAAATTAACAAAATTAACCGCGAGCATAGTTTATCATTAATAGTAATTAAAACATATATGTACACAACAAATCAGCACCTTCATCGTACAAACTCGGGACTGAGCACCGAATTTAGCTATCATATATTCATAAACGCCGTGTGGCTGCTAGAATGTGTTTTTCTATTGCACAGAGGGCTTCGTCTATCGACACGGCCAATTATAAACTCGACTGAAACATGTTGCTCGATATTTCTTTCTAGATTCAACAGTTCTGTTAGATGAATAGTATAAATGTCTTCTTGCTTAGTCTGTGTTCCAATAGTATTAGGGCATCCTCGACATTTGAAGCCAATATCTGCAAATCGCTTAATTTTTGACCACTTGTTCTAATTCAGGTAGAGCTCGTCCTACGGACAACATTGTTAACGTCCTTTACTATTTCAGGGTATCCATTTTCCTGCCAGACGTCAATTAGTTCAGGGCAGAACCGGATAGCCCATGCGATAATATTCCAGTCCAAGTCGTTCGCGTACCCATCGGAGTCACCAGTGTGCAAACATGAATTTCTGACTCTTGGCCTAGACGGAAATGGCACGAATTTGTACGTTCTAATTAACGTCTTAATTTTATCTATATTTTTCCATAATACGGCTATCGATTGTCTGGGTCCGCCTAAGAGATAATAGAATAAATCCATGTCATTTCCACATACGGGAATATTGTCTCCATCAAATCGGTCATGACCCTCTTCGAGAATTCGACAATAGACATCGCAAGAAAGATTGCTTGCCCACGGGCTGCACATTTTGTCTTTAATGGAAGATTTCTGATCTGGATCAAGAGTACCCAGGTTATGCGTAAGCTTGAGATCAATAAGTCTGTTATCATGCTTGCCAAATCCGAGCACCAATCTTTGAATAAAATACCGACTAAGGTGCGCGTTTTGCGCAAATAAACATTCGACTACATCAATATTAATAAAGGGTTCGCCCATTCTCACTGCGTAAAATAATGCATGGGTTCTCCCATGTATGCTAATTAGCCACTTGGCTTTTGTTGAAGGTGAATTTACGATATTGTTCCATTCACGCGAACATTTGGCAAGAGATGTAGGATTTTTCAGTTGGATAATAACTTTCACTTTAAGTTCTGACACTAGATTATTCAGAGACATGCGTGGAGGAAAGACGCTTGATAAATTTAAAACAGTGTACTTAATTCGAAGCAATACTTATCTTAAAGACCAGAGAATCGCTCGCTGTGCATTTATAGTGACATTGGGTGATCCCCAAAAAGGCAAATGTTTCAAAGGCAGATTTCAGTAGGACGAAAACACTTAATAAGGCATATAAATTGGGTGTTAACTCCAATCAGAAAATGTCACGGCACATATGTTCCAGAATAACTATTGGCAGCAGAATTCGCGGCTAAAAAAATTTCCGATGCATACCTTAAGAAAAAGAAAGGTCTGAGCGAGACCAAAAAAATCCTCCATCCATTCCCAAACCGAACAAAGAACTAAGTAATAGCACCAAAAATCAGGGAAGACGTTATCGCCACACGTCACGGACAAAAACGCAACGGTCCAAACACGCGGGTTTACTAAGTAATTCGGTAATCAGTAAAGTAATTCAGAAGTTAGCTGAGAAGTACTTTTTGACACTGTTGTAAACGGCATTCTTTTTAACGTAAAACAAATTTTTTGAATTTGCACAAAATACTCAATGTTGTAATTTAGAGAGGCAGGATAGCGTAGCCAGGAGGCTTACAAGATTAAATTAGCGTCGCAAGGTTGGCCTCGTGCATACGGTAATTAAGCAAAATGCGAACAATCTAACAACGCGAAAGCCAGATATCTTATTAAATGCGTCATTTTGCTGGTTTTGGGTTTTATTCTGTCATATTTAGCAGTGGAAATTGGCCAGGGTACAAAGAAGCAACGTTTCGCATTTGGCTATTACAATTGCGAAACTATAATAATTTGCCACTGGTTTTAATTCTATTGGGCTAGGCCAATCATTCTATTCCACAAACTCTTACAGATTTTCTCCATGTATTTAATGACAACATGTGAACACTTTCACACTTCGCTGGCAGAAACAAAAACCAAATTCAGTGAAACCATTATCCAACAGGCATGAATAATTAATCAGATGCGTAGCAGCAATTCTTTTACAGATTAAGATGTCTTTTCTGAGAAACATAACATCAGATATTTAGTGAAATATTTTGAAAACGTACCGCACTTTTTTTATCAAATTTCTTTACAGGTGTTATCGGAATATCAGTAGACTGAAAGTAATCTCGTAAACGTATTAATACATTCAAATTCCAAAATTGTAAACTATTGACATTTTGGTATTCAAACTGATATTAAATACTGTCAATGGTCTGGAAGCAAATTCCTTGGCTTGACGTTTACTTGTTTTTTCAGATGAAAAAAGTAAATGCTCCGCTTTCTCCCACAGATCAGCCTTATGACAATCTCTCACAAAGTAAATATTGTTAACAATATAAAAACAATTATGCGGAGAAACTCTTTGCAAACAAAGTTCGAGAAAAATGACTCAAATTCTAGATTTTGTTGAAGCATATTTCAAGCATCACGCCTATAGATACTGTAATTTGAAAATGTACTAGTTCTCATAAGACAGGTTGTCTGCTGTCTTGTGGACGTGTTTATTATTAGAAATGTTTTGTTGCAATAGAGAATTAATGTAGGTATATACTGTGGTATTGAGAATTTTTCAGCAAAACTGCCAGGCTATTCAATGAGATGCTTATGAACAAAATCACTGACAGGTTGACTGTGTAAACTAACAACAATACTGGTAATTAGGTAATAAAAAGTTTTATTAAGTAATATAATTATGAATTTACTTTTTATAAGGGCTCAACCAATTAGAATGGATAAAATGACTGTATAATTATTTTATTATTGTTTCATATTTATTATTATTATTTATTATAGTATGTAACAAAAAAATGACAATTTTTATTTGCTCGTTGCTCAAAAATGGGTATTAGTATATAAATGTGTAAACAAAAATTGTGTAATAAAGCTTGAAAGCAGCCCACTCCACCCAAGTTTCCCTCTATGAGTAAGCATTGCGTAGCTAATACTAATACTAAGGGAAGACTATTTTCATAACCCAATCCTGCTAAATGATGCGTGGTTGCTATTTAGATACATCCATGCCATGTTATTTTTTAGTAACTCGTTTGACGTTCAGGTAGACAAAATTTTGTACAAGTAACAATGTTTGACCACTTAGGATTGAGATACTTGGAAGATGCCCAATTTATCAAGTGGACTTTTTTCAAGTTTTAAAGTTTTAGTGAATAACACCTAGTACACTATACACTAATGCTGACGTACCCAGAGAGCAGATAAATTAAATTTTCTATATCATACGACAATTAATTTCTTGGATAAACAGTATCATTAATTTGTGCTTTTTTTATTCTATTCTTATATTATATTAATTTGTTAATTGTTAATTAGCATAGTTAATATAGAATAAAATAATTATGGCAAATAACTCACAGAGTACGTTTCACTATGTTTGGTAATTATTTTTTACTTTACAATTATATTTCTATTAGCACTTGGGTACCATTAGCAATTTATTAAATTCTCAAATATTATGTTTAAAATTAACAGCTCGACAATAAAATATGCTGTTTACAAATATATTTTGTAGTGCTTTTTATTTCTTCGTAATTACAAAAAGTGCTAAGTAAAATTTTTTTAAACGCTCATGTCGTAAAATTCTATTTCGCTATTTTGTAGCGTTTAACACGCTTATCTTCTGCTATTACCCTATAAAATTTTACAGTTACATTATCTGCAATGTACAAACGTTGCTATAATTTAATTGTTATAAGATATCTCGTTGTGTAATTATTCATAATTAATCAAAAATCGAAGAGGTAGTCCGTGACTTTTGAGTTAGCACTGTATGTATTTCTTTTAGTAGTCTTTTCCCGGAATGTAGCAACATTGATAGGATTGGCTATTCGTTATAGCCGGATAAAGTTTGCAATAGGGTGTAGTGACTTGAGTTGCTTTTGCCACTTGGACAGCAACAACATATAGCATAGCTATGAATATTTTTGAACAGGTCTTTTTATGTGTTGGGGTTAATAAGATCGCGTTTCCATTTCCAGGACATAGCTGAGCTGGACAGGTCATATTGTACTACTACAGGCATTACGGAACCAACACTTGTAAACGCGTTGATTCTGTCTTGCATGCGTTTTATATTCATTAGAAATAAATATTCATCAACCTTTTTCCTTTTGAGGAAAGTGGCGTTGCCATGAGAGTAGGCTTTAAGCATAGACAGCATTTCGAATAATTCATTGAACCTCGGTAAGGCGATTTAACTATAGTTATGAGATTCATTTAAAGCGATTCAAGCGTATTGACGATGCGGAATATGTGGAGTTTATAGTTAATTAGAAAAGTTTAGTAAAACTATTACCAAATAAGTTCATAAACACATGATTCGCTGGCATGTTAAAAGAGGCAGAGTGAAAACTGTACAAAGAATATAATTCAGAAAAGAAATCTTTGTTGTTATAATAAAATAAATTGGTTTACCTTATTGTGTTCTTATAACGCGGCTAGTTTGTAAATTTTTACACTATTAACTAATCACGCTAGTTGGATATACCATTATTCCTCCAATGTCCTTAACAGTATACATATCACAATACAATGTGATTCTATTTCTACACTAGCAGGTAGACACTGAATCATATCATATCTCTCACGAAATCGTTGGGGTATCATGCCCTAGTATCTCATTTGATATTTAAATGATCTGTTTATTAGACACACAACATTGGGTCTCACCAATAAGGTGCGATATCAAACGCCACGCTCTAAGTCTCAGAAAGATGACAATCAAGTCTTCGTTGTTTCCCGTTGCCTTTGAGAATGGGGGTTTTTAATGTATGGCGTACGACTTGCATTGTGTCGATCAAGTTTGACATTAATAATAGCAAGAATAATAGCTTTTTTGAAACTGCGCCATGATGGACACGTTATGTTATTGCTCCAATAATTTTATACGTCATACCAATTTGCATTAACAACGTTAGGCACTTCTATTGTTTCTATAAACAAAATCCAAAGTAAAGCATTGATGACGTCCAACATATAATTGTAAAAATGGCATTTACAATTGACGATAAGCTTAATATTAATCATATATTATAAGCTGTTGCTATAAAGCCTCGATCGCTAAACATATAAAAGCAAAAGACAGTAATGCGAACAGCTACACACATACACAGTCATTCAAATTAATCTCAAAACGCACACAATGTCTAATCTTATCCCAAAGGACGAGCCGAGCAATCTTAGACCCGTCAAACAGCGCAAGCCAAAAAATTCATTTATGAATTTCTTACAAGATTTTAGAGAAACTCATTCCCACTCGTTTCCTAACCAAAAGTCACTCATAAGACACGCAACAACTGTTTGGAATGATCCAAAATTTGATAGACGCGCTTACGAGGGTCTGTCAGAGTTTGAGAGAATCTGCTTTGACTCGATTACGAAGAAACATAAAAAGATGAAGGTAAAAACAGAAGTGGAGTTTACCCATAACTTGATATGGATCACTACCACCCCAGACTCAACCCCGGACTCCACCCCCGACTCGAGTATCGATGAAAAAAAATTATCAACAAGTTGACATTAAGTTGTAAGGTTATTGTTAACCGCCTTACGCGAGTATTTTTTCTTGCATATGTATTTTTTTATGTATCCTTAGCAATGTAGGCTCAGCCCTGATTTTTGCGATGCGTCACGTGTGTTGATTCGTGATATCAAACTTCTATTTATGTTATACTTGAGATAACTTTAATGCATTAATTTTAAGTTTAATGCCGGTATAAAGCGACCGCGCGATTATAATTAGCTAGTAATTTATCGTGACATTATTGCAGGGGTCTTGTAAGGTTTGGGGTCAATTGTATGTGATATAAGCAATCGTGTAATATGCATATTATATATCAGTCATGAGATCATTATTCGGTAGTGATATTTCGGAATAAACCGAGTGTTTTACTTGAAAATCTGTTTAAAAAGTTTGTTACTATTTGCTAATTTATGTACATGCAACATAACTGTTATTTATCTTAATATAGTCACTGAGCCTTGCAGTTCACATTCCCAAGTAACCAATTATCATGCTTAACGGTCAGCATATCTACGTTGTTACAAATTAAATTAACTTCTGACAACTCAATAATGATCGGAGCACGAACTGGTAACAGCTTAATTGTCCGCGCAACATACGATATCATGATATCAACCGTGAATCACATGGACACGTAAATCAACAGGTATGATATACCCGTTACAATCTGAATAGACAAACAAACGTTGATATTCTTACAATGCACATATACGCCCGTCTACCCACAAGCGGGCATCCACATTGTCGCACTGCCCCTTGTCTGGAAAACGCAACAAAGATTTAAACGAACGAGACGTCGAATTAAAAGGCGTAAATGAATTAATCATAAGATAATTATTCATGAGTAATCGGGCACAATAGGCACCGTACTCCATTATCACTTTCAGTACTACCCACATTATTCTTCTTACCAACCACTCGTTTCTGCATCTGACTTGTTTCATATGGCTAGAACTGTTTATTCAATCCCTTGCGTGTAGCGCGTCATCATCTTCCCGCAGCTAAACGCAGTTATGGCAAACAAGAATTATTTAAACCTTCCCTCCCATAACACATACTTAATTTCACGAGGTCAATATACACCAATTAATCTTTGCTTAAATTAATTAAATA